GCCAAACATAAAGTCCAACTTTATAATAATAATTATATTTGTTCTTGACGTGTTAGAATGGAAATAGATATTAATTCTGAGTGCATTATTGTATAATAATGCACGTTTTTCGTTCAAATGCTTTGTAATTAATCACTCAGGCCTATCGGCCTTCGTGATTATATTACTACGCATTTGAACTCAAACCGTGCATTATTCTACAACAATGCACTCAGACTTGATATCTATTTCCTAAACAACACACTTAAAATGATATCTATTTCCTTACCATATGTACATGCTTTTTGCCAACAAATGATTTTGCTGCTCAGTTACGCATTTAATATCACCTTGAAAAGTATAATTTTTTAAAAATCAAGAAGTGTTAAGGAAATGCCCCTTGTGGCTGAGGGCTTGCCTTTACTGTTTGAGGCATCAGAATTGCAGCTACCGTTTAACCCTGCATGATTATAAGTAAGAGGCCACTAAATGGGTTTGAATTACTGGAGTCTATGAATCTCTTAGCTCCAGCAAGGTCAAGGTCATTTATGAGTGAAGGTCAATGACTGTCTAGTCAACTTAAAGTTCTATCCTAATAGATTGTTGAGTTCAAATTCGAGGTCAACTCATTCAAAAATAATTAAGTAAAGCTACTTATAGCAAAAATCATCTTGTTTTCCTTAAGTTTTTAATTGCTTGTTGTTGTGGGAGGGGGAGGGGTGACATTTAGTGAAGGAAATTTGGAAACCAAGCAGACGTTTTGTAGAATGTTTTAAAAACAAACTGTATAGATGAATTGAATCCGTCTATCAGCGGTGTTCAAAATGTGGTTTATACAGTTTACATTTAAATACAAAACCCAAAACTCTATAGCTTTGCTTCTGATTTTTTTTCATTAGATGATGTAATAATAAAAATAAAAATAAAAAAAAAATAATAAAAAATGAAAAAATATAATGATGTTAATTAAAAAAATAAAAATTTGAAGAAAAAAAAAAAAAAAAAAAAAAAAAAAAAAAACAACAACAGCAATTAAAAACTTTGGTATATAGCTAAGATTTTTTTCCAAAGAAAAAAAGTTATCATTATAGTTCATTCCAATACCAGTTGCTTTGCCTCGCACATTGCTGTTGACATCTGCAAATTTTAAAACATTGGTCATTACTTTTTTATGTCTTTGTATATTGTCCAACAACCCTTACAGACAAGGCGTTAAGTACACCAAACTAACGTTGACCTTCATTCATAAATGACCTTGACCTTCAAGATCAAATATCTGAATTGTACTTATTTTTGCTGATTTTTCGAAAATGTAGCTATAACTAAATTGATTTTAAATTGATTGTCATAAATAAAATACAACATTTCTTTAGGATACCAGACAGATCTTAACAGTTACTCATAAATGATCTTGACATTGAAGGACAATTAATTATTGAAATTTTCTTTCTTTTTTGCTGAAACAAGCCTATAACTTAATGAATTGATTTTAAAGCATCTGAATCAATAGCAACAACAATTTCTCAAAAAAGATTGCATCAATCAACAAGATATGAATTTGTTACAGTCACTCACTTATAAAAAAAAAACTTGAATATTGTTTTAACCCATTACTTCATGAGCATTTTGTAAATAATGACTGTTTTTATTGAAAAGTCTCCCTTTACACGTTCAAATTGCTATTAAACTATAAAAACTGCTTCAATACTAATCAAACTTGGCACTAATGTTGACTGGACCATTGCCTTGGTAACAACATGCTCAGGCTTAAATTTCCTGTTACCATGGCAACCATGGCCTGTATTGTTCGGTATTTTTAATGAACTTTGATGTATTGTTGGGTACTTTTTGTGTCGCCTCTACGGAGTAGTGGCGACATATAGGGATCACTTCTCCGTCGTCTGTCTGTCCGTCTGTCCGTCTGTCTGTCTGTCCGTCTGTCACAAAACTTGTCCGGACTACTCCTCATAAACTATTGGTGCAATTTCATCCAAACTTTACAGGAATGATCAGTACCAAGTCTAGTTGTGCATATTGTCAGGATTTTCCGGTTCAATGATTTTTGTCAGAGTTATGGCCCTTTAATAATTTTTAATTTTAAAGTTTGTCCGGACTTCTTCTCTTATACCACTAATGCAATTTCAATGAAACTTTACAGGATTGATCTGTAGCTCAAGTCCTTGCGCATATTGCACGGGTTTCCCGGTTGAATGATTTTTGGCCGAGTTATGGCCCTTTGATAAAAAGGTTTCTTTTTCTGTGTGTTGCCAGATACACAAAAGCTTGTCCCGACTACTCCTCATAAACTACTGGTGCAATTTCATCCAAACTTTACAGGAATGATCAGTACCAAAGTCTAGTTGTGCATATTGTCAGCATTTTCCGGTTCAATGATTTTTGTTTGAGTTATGGCCCTTTAATAATTTTTATTTTTAAAGTTTGTCCAGACTACTTCTCTTATACCACTTATGCAATTTCAATGAAACTTTACAGGATTGATCTGTAGCTCAAGTCCTTGCGCATATTGCACGGGTTTTCCGGTTGAATGATTTTTGGCCGAGTAAAGGCCCTTTGATAAAAAGGTGTTTTTTTCTGTGTGTTGCCAGATACACAAAAGCTTGTCTGGACTACTCCTCATAAACTACTGGTGCAATTTTATCCAAATTTTACAGGAATGATCAGAACAATGTGGTTAGTCTAGTTGTGCACTGTCCGTCTGTCTGTCCGTCTGTCACAAAATTTGTCCCAACATGAAATTGGCCATCATGAGGCGACACATGTGATAACTGATCGCTCTTGTTTACACAGTAACATACCCAAAAAGTATACAAATGTAAGGATGGACTTCCGGCCGTTCGTCAGTTTTTCCTTGTCTGCCCAATAACTTGAGATTCCTTTGACACACAACCTTCATATTTGGCATGGAGGTTAATTGTGACCATTAGATGACCCCTATTGATTTTAAGGGCACCAGGTCAAAGGTCACAGGGACCTTGACTAAAAAAAGCTTGTCCGCCAAATAACTTAAGATTCTTTGACCCACAGTCTTCATATTTGGCATGGAGGTTAGTCATGATTAGTAAATGACCCCTATTGATTTTTAGGTAACTTGGTCAAAGGTCAAGATCACAGGGACCTTGACTAGAAAAAGCTTGTCTTCCCAATTACATTAGTTTCTATTGAACCAGTCTTCATATTTTGCATGGAGGTCAGTCATGATTAGTAGAACCCAGATTTTGAGAGTATTTATATTTGGCATGGAGGATCATGACCATTAGGTGACCCTATTTATTTTCAGGTCACTGGGTCAAAGATCCAGGTCACAGTGGCCTTGAGTAAAAATACTTTTCCGCTCAATTGCATAAGAATGCTTTGGTCAACAGTTTTCATGTTTGATGTTAAGGTTGTTTATGACTAGTAGATGACCCCTGACATTAACATTTTAATTAGAATTACAGAAATAAAATAAATTTGAAGCAGACAGAGAGCGAGAAAGAAAGGGGGTGGGGTTTAAAAATAAAAAAAAAATAATATAATGAGGGAATAATTTTTTATTGAAAAATATAACAGACAAAAAACAAAGTTTAAAGGTCTATCATCTAATGTAGATGATGTGTCATTGGCAAGACCTTCATCTAAAACTTGTAGGTCAGTGTTTGACATTGAGCTGCATAGGAACCATTGAGTTTCCTTTGCAACCATTAACTTCCTGTCAAGCATTCATATCCTGAGCCCTCAGTGACTTTAAAAGTAAGCATTGGTTTTTTTGCAACAAATTGCTTCCATTGCAGCCATTGTCCTTGAGCCTATTGTTCTTCAAAAATAGTGGCTGCTGAATTATGTATAAACTTACAAAAAAAGACAGAAAAATATAATGTAAATCAGAATAACAGAAATAGAATAATATTGAACAGGAACAGAGAAAGGGGCGGTGACGTAAAAATAAATAAAGAAATAATAAAATGAGGAAATAATTATTAAAAGAACAATAAAGAAGAAAAGTTTAAGGATCAGCTAATTTAGATGGTTTGTCTTAGGAAGAATCTATGTCTACAACTTGCAGGCCAGTGTTGGGTAATGAGGTTCATAGGAACCATTATGTTTCCTTGGTAACTGTTTACTTCTTGTCAAATATTGACACCCAATGCAACCAGTGTCTTCACAAATAACCATTGGTTTCTTTGACCACATGACTTCACCACGTGTCACCACCAAGTGACACCACATGACTCCACCATGTAAATCCACCATGTGACTCAGCCATGTGACACCACCACATGACCTTACCACATGACTTGGCCATGTGGACTTTACAAAAGTGACTTTACCATGTGATACAACCACATGGCTCAACCACATGACACCATTCATGGTGACTGGGCCACGTTACACCACCGCATGACTCCACCATATGACCGTACCACATGACTCCACCACATGACTCGGCCATGTGACTCCACCACATCTCTTCCACATTACTCCGCCACATGACTCCACCATGTGTCACAACCATGTTGCTCCGCAAAGTGACTTCACCACGTGACACCACCACAAGACACTACCATGTGTCAACCACTTGACACCACCACATGTATCTATTTATAGAATTGCATGTTTCTATTTATAAAATTTTCTATTAATAGAATTGCGTGTTTCTATTTATATATAGAAATAGACCAAACTTCTGTGACAAGACAGACAGATTAATTTTATAAAAAGGAAACGTTAAGATTTTGTTCAAACCCCCCACCCATTTGAAGATCAAACATTTCTTTGTTTGCTTTTACAGAAGAATGTAAAAAGTTTGCAAAATAATGCCCGATTACTATCAAGCACTCTGTATAGTCAGCATGCTGTCGTACTGACAGCTCTTTCTATTAATTTCCTTCTTATCTCTTTGTGGTTGTGCCTTGGGTTGAAGGAGAGCAGTTTGATGTGATTTATTTTTTTGTATTTTTGCTGTCTTTTGAGTCATTGCCCCACCCAAGTCAAAAATCCAATATAAAAAATGAAGTGTAGAAATGGTGAAGCCATTATTTGTCCCACCAACTTCTAGATTGTCTCCAGTAAATGTTTCTGAAGTAACTGTGTTCCTGATACTATGTCATCACAAATATGCTGTTACTTCAGATTGAGCTCCTCTCTAACATATGGCTGTATGTTGAGGTAAATAAAACATACTGTATTTATTTTCTTTCTTGACCCCATTATGGGATTTTTTTTTCATTGCCATTCTGCCTGTGCCTGGGATTGAAAGGTTGCAGCTTGATGTGACACATTTCTTGTGTTTTTCTTGCATATCTGTTGATGCTGTCTGCCATCCAAACCTCCCCCCACCCCCGCTCAAACAAAAAAGAAGAAAAAGAAGGAATTATAATAAAGTTATAGACAAGAAATGAACAGAATAAATGGTTTAAGGGCATTTTTTTGCCCCACCAACTTATTGTCTCCAGATAAGTATATTTCTGATTCTTCTGCATTACACAACCTGCTGTTACTTTAGATGGAGCTTTTTGACATGCTGTATGTAAATATAGTTAATATGTTCTGTATTTGTGTCCTTTGTTGTCTTCTTTATTTGAATCTTATCTTTTTAGCTTGACTATTTGAAGAATAAAAAGAGTTGTCCTATTCCTGTGAGGGTTGGTGTTGGCTTTGGTGTTTGCATCAGCATAACCACTTATGTAAAAGTTTGCATACCACCTTAGATATTTCCAAAGTCCATTGACATATGGCTTTGGGACTTTGTACACTTGTAAATCATCATAATCTTAAATTGTGTACAGGTTACTGTATCAAGCTTTTATACAATATTATGCCCCATTACTTTCAAGCACTGAAAATAGTCAAGCATATTTTCTGACAGCTCTTGTTATTAAGGTCCCTCCCATCTCTTTGTGGTTGTGCCTTGGGTTGAAGGGAAGTAGTTTGGTTGATTCATTTCATGTGTTGTTGCTGTTTTCTGAGCCCTGCTTACCCCCCCCCCAACCCCCACCCTTCCGACCCACCCCTGTCATAAAATTTTGACTGTAGAGTTGGTTAAGCCATAAACTGTCCCACCAACTTCTACATTATCTGCAGTAAATTGTATGATGCTTTGAAAAAGAGAAAAACAGGATCCCTTAAGAAAGCCCAACACGGCAAAATTGAAAATGTTGCAGGCTCGGTTTGATTGAGCCTGTTCATGGACGGTACTGGAAAGTGCAAGTTACAGCCCAAGCCCCCTTGCACTGGCTTAAGCAGAATTCAACATTTAACAAGAACTGGTACAAATCACAAATCTATTGTTACTTAAGATTGAGCTCTTTATCTAGTATATTGTTTTATGTAAATAATATACATTAACATACTGTATTTATTTTTTATGTTGGTATCTTTATGGGGGCCTTTTTTCGATGGCATCTCTGCTTGTGGGTGTTCCACAGATTGAAATGTTGCAGTTTAATGTGACACATGTCTTGTGTTTTCTTGCATATTACTTACTGCTGTCTGCCATCCAATCCTACACCTCCCCCCCCCCCCCCCCCCCCCTTTTTAAAGTTATCTAATTTTAATCCTGTCTGGTTTGTACCAAGTTTACTCAGTTATAATAATTACCCTGGTGCCAAAATAGGTCTGGCTCTGTGACAGTCATATTTTGTATGTTTATTTCAAAACAATTTTTGAACTGTAAAATTACAGAACTTAAGTTCAGATCAATATTGTTTTGAGGATTTTTAATCTCCTACATGAAAAAATTGCTCTTAAATCAAAGTTCCATCTCATGTTTTGGAAACTAGGCTATTAACCAGGCTTTTTCTTTTAAAAATCCTGATTTTTAAAATAGAGGAATGATTTATAGGCAGGCCCCAGACAAGTGGACGTCAAATAGGTGGTTTTCAGTCAGTAACTAGTTAGAAATGAAATATTGTGATAAAACTTTAAATATAACAAGATTGCATTGAGACTACATGTGCATAGCTTTTTTGCAACCTAGGTTAAAAGTCTTGTATCCAGTACTGAAAATGTACATATTGACAAGGAAAATATTTATTTGTGTATAAAGTACAGCAATGCAAAACCTGGAAGTATATTATTCTGCTCAAAACAGCTATATGTACAATATTCATTCGAATGACATCTTGTCTCAAACCTCAAGATCAAATTTGACAGAAAATAAATAAATTGTCAGTGACCCCAAAAACAAGGTGTTTAATAACATGTTATTCAAAAGAAAAATAAAAACCTTAAACAAATTCGTGAAAAAATTGTGGAGAGAGCCTATAACACTTCTAAAATACCGATTATACAAAAAATTGCTGCAGGTTGCATAGCGAATCGAATAAAAACTTACCTAGATAAACTAATAAAATAAAGATCAAACAGGTTTCATCAAAGGGAAGATATATTGGAGAAAATACCCCGTCTTATTCTATTGATATCATGCCAGTATACTGAAGAAAATAACATTTCCTGGACTTTTCCTTTTAATAGATTTTGAAAAAGGCTTTGATTCACTCTCTTGGTCATTTGTACAGAATACTCTGTCTTTTTTTTACTTTGGTCCGTCTATAAAAAAATGGTTTGATATTTTATATAAGGATGCAACTTCTGCTGTTAATCAATGTGGGTTTTTATCAAATTTTTGTTTTAAAATAGGTAGAGGGGTGCCGACAAGGAGATCCCTCTTTCATGTTATATTTTATATATGATGTGCTGAAAGTTCTAGCTTTAAAAAATAAGAAATGATAAGATTATTAAAGGAATAAACATTAACAACGTAAGAACATAAATTGTCACAATTTGCAGATGACACAACAATGATTTTAGATGGATCAAAGTGCGTCTTTAAATAAATCTTTGGAAATCTTGTCAGATTTTTGCACAACTATCGGACTTAATGTTTTAATTTTTTGATAAAAATAAGGTTGTTGGATTAGGAAAAAATTGAAATATTCCTGCAAAACAGGTAATAAAAAACAAGATTGAAAATTGTCTTGGAATCGACCATTTTTCAATTTAAAATGTTAGCATAAAATTTTCATGTTGCTTAAAGTTTAAAATAAAGATTTAAACTTATAGCGAAAGAATAGAAAATAATCCGAAAGGTTTCAAAATTTGGAAAAGAAGAAATTCTCACACCAATAGGAAAAAATTTGCTGTCATTAAAATCTTTTTTTATTTCATCTCTTTTAATCATTTTTTCATTTAACTACCAAACCCTTCGAAAAGAATCAGTGGTATTAAAAAAATGTTTTATGACTTTATTTGGCAAGGAAATTGGTAAAAAATTTTAAGTCTTTCTGTTATTTGTAAAAACCTATGATGAGGGCGGCTTGCAGATGATAAATATTTCTGCCTTTATCATGTTCATTAAAAATAACATGGTTTAAAAGAATAATCTCAAAATGCTAGTTGGAAAAGTATTCTTTACGACAAAATAGTATGCAAAAGTTTTTCACTGCGGAAACCATTATTTTGATAAACTTGCAAAAAGAAACAAACAATCTTTTTTGGAAAGGACACTTTTACGGCATTTTCATGCTATATTTTGAATTAATTCCAATCGAAAATCATTCTTTCGGAAAAACATCCTTTATTTTAATAACAATAAAACATATTAATTGGTTCAAAAAGCGTATATTTAAATCATGGTTCGATGCTGGAAGTTTTGTAACATTAGAACAACACCTTATATCTGATTGGAAAAGTTTTTATCTTATAATGAATTTTTATTAAAAGATACAATGTCCCAATCTAATATCTTAATTTTCAACGGTATGATTCTATCAGTTAAGCAATTTTTTTTAATAAATATAATATAATATATAAACATCCCCAACAGAAAAGCATTGGCCAGACATACCGCTATACTTTAAAGATATTATATCAGACATAAATGGAGCAAAACTTTTCTATAATATATTAAATAAAAACAAATCAAAGCCAACAAGTATTCGAAAAATGGACAAATAACCTTAATTTAGCTTTTAGTGAAAACGAATGGAAAATTTATATTCGAAATGCCTTTTAGAATTACAAAATATGCTAAGTTGCAATGGTTCCAAACAAGAATTTTACACAGGATTATTGGAACCAATCATCTTTTATACAAAAATTAAGTATAAAGAAAGTCCTTTATGTTCTTTTTGTAGTAATGATGTTGAAAGCATTGAGCATCTATTCTGGATGTGCTCCCATTGTCAAAAAATTTATAAAGGAATTTCTTAAAATAAATGAAGCACCTTTTTTTATCGTTAGGTATTTAAAAGAATGATGTTTTGGCTATAATGCAAAGGATGATTTATCTAACGCAAAAAAACTTATTTTTAGTAATATTTTTAAAATGTCTAATATTTATCAGTTAAAATGCTTGATCTTTCTTTATCAATGATTGCAGCCAAAAACTTTATAACACAAAAGCTCAAGACTGATAAAGAGGGTAGCAATCATAAATAATAGATTACCGAAAGTTTGAAAATGTTTTGAGTCTTTTTAGAAAATTTATTTTTTACTAATTTTAAAAAAGAAAAATTGTCAGCTGAGAAAATATTATTTCTACACTGAAAAGTACTATTTTTGAGTTTTTAAGTAATTAAGAAATAATTCAGCCAAAATAGCATGCTTTAGATTTTTATATACTGTTGATGCTTTTGAAAACCATTTCTTTAAAAAAAAATACGGTTATGAGTGCGAGTATGAATGCATGTGTCGTCCTTGTCTCTTTGTTTTTGTCGTTTGTTGTGTTGTTGTTATTTTGTGTGTGTGTGTGTGTGTGTGTTTTTTCTTTTTGATTTTTTTTTTTTTATAATTGTTGTTTTTTTTTCTTTCATTACATTGGTTCCACATTCGGGTATTAACCGTTCACATGCATGAAACAAATAATTGTAAAACCACTGTGGGATGTGCTTCGACCCCACAAATGGTTATAAGACGAAGCGAATAAATGGGTTGGTTATAAGAAAGAAGCGAATAAATGGGGTTACCCCATGTGGGGGCCTGAAAAAAAAAAAAAAAAAAAAAAAAAAAAATTTTGACAGAAAGTCAAAAAAAAGATTTTTGCATGAAGCTCTGTAACCTAGTTTGTTAAAATAATTCTTGT